GTTTTTAACCTTGTTAAAAGAAACATAAAGGATGTTGTAAGACGGATCGCTCGAACCCCGGAGCCCCCACTGCCTCCGCGGCCCCCCGGAATAATATTTTACGAGCGCGTAGGGCCGTAAAAAGGGCACTAAATTCTAGCCAGAAGCGCCTCTCTAATTGGATTTATTTTCGAGGAATTGGCAATATATTAACGGCGGGCAAAGATTCGTGACGAGTGCCTTTTCCTGATTTTCTAAGGCAGAGATCGAGTAGAAGAAGAGGGATTTTGATTGGTAAAGTAAATAAGTAAATAATATACCTGATGAAATATTTCCAGAAATTAGGTTTTAATTAGTTATTATCGAATAATTGTTTTCAATTTTATAAAAAACACTAGCGTGTACCCGCGACTTCGTTCGCGTCGAATTAATCATTTGTAATGGCGATGATAAAGCAAAGCAAGAATTTCCATTAACAGACAAACTGGATAAAATTTTCTCACGTTTTTATGTCAGCATGCGAAAAAACAATATGGCGATATTATTATGTAACTTGGTAATATTTGAAGGGTAGTTTCATCTCGTTGGAATTTGACTTTCGAAAAATGCGTTTGCCTAAAATAAGCTTCTTACATCAAGCAGTTTAAGCAGAATCGTGGTTAATCAATTACCCAACTTTTTGGAACACCCTGTATGTTTTTTTTTTAAATTTCAAAATATGTAAAAAAATAAAATAAATTATGCGTGTCCAAGCGTTTTCCCGAAAGACTGACCGTTTTTTAAATAACAAATATTGTAATATTGGAGGGGCGTTTTCACCCTCTTGGAATTTGAGATTCGAGAGACCCCTCCTTATCGAATCTCTACACCCTACAGTCAATCCGTTTGCCCAAAATCAGCTTTAAAGGCAAGCAGTTTAAGCAGAATCGTGATTACTCAAAGGTCATAATTTATGAAACACCCTGTATAAATTTTGAAAAAATCTTAAAATATATAAATATATATATATATATATATATATATATATATATATATATATATATATATATATATATATATATATATATATATATATATATATATATATATATATATATATAATCGTGATTAGATCGTGATTACTCAAAGGTCATAATTTATGAAACACCCTGTATAAATTTTGAAAAAATCTTAAAATATATAAAATATATATATATATATATATATATATATATATATATATATATATATATATATATATATATATATATATATATATATATATATATATATATATATATATATATCGACGGCGTCACGACAAAAGGGCGTAAGCGCCAAAATAACGAAAATGAGATTATGGTTCCAAAATGTAATACTAATAAATGCGCACCTATCTATGAAACGGCTTAACCAGCAAAAATTCATAACGTGAGAAAAAAGACAGTTTTAGTTTCTAACCGCCAATACACCTTCAAACCAGACTCGACGCGAAAATCAGTAACCGCCATTCACACGTGTTGGAAGGTCGCTTAAGCCTGGGATAAAAAAATACCATTTTCCATTCAAAGGTACGTAGAAAAACTTATTAATAAGATAGGTCTTATTCATATTTGGTAGCCTAGATTGTTTTTTGTGCTTCAATCTAATTCAAATAGTAAACACCAACATTTATTTGTTATTGTCGGTTACGCCTTTTCGTGTTAATTTATTTGGTTTGCCTAAGCGCCATCCGCCTATGTGATCGTAATGGCATATTTTTTTGCTTTTAACAAAACTACCGTTCAACAGATTTCAAAAAATTGTCAAATATCTAAATTGTATACAATATTAATTTTCAAAAAAACCTTTGCTACAAGTCAAAGGACTTTTTCTTGATTGTAATAATTGTTGAAATTTGGTTTTTGATGTCGCTTAAGCCTTTTTATATTTTTCCTCCACAGTGTGATAATGACTTCCCGCGGGAAGAAAATCAGAGATTTGGCATTAAAATGTGGAAATCAAGAGGTTGAGGTTGAGAGCAATATCATAGATAATGATCTTCTGGCAGAAGCATTGCAGCATGATGCGCTGTTGGAGTCAGAATTATTCATGTTAGAAGCACCACCTTTTGCCACCAACGAGGAATACGGATCAAGTTCACCCGTGTTTTGCTCAGAATATTAGTTAAATTTAATTTTCCAGTTATTATTTCAAGCCTAATGAGTTTGAAAATATTGAAAGTATCAGTTTGAGTATTTTGTACTGTGTTTTCTTAAAAAATTTAAAAAATCCAAGCGACATTTTTAATTTTATTTGTAAAACTCAAAAGGCGTAAGTGCACCTAAACGACAAAAAATGACTAGAATAATAAGACACAAAAGTCTTAAACGCCTTTCAAAAAGACGTAAACGCCAATCGAGCCTAGAAAGAAAGGCGTAAGCGCCAAATATTAAAATAACTAATTAACAGTTTAATATTTTATAAGCAAAAAATTCTTGAAAAATGTGCCATATAATCTATAATACTGTAGCAAAAAATAATTCACAAAAAATAAAAAATATAGATTTTAGACGTTTTTTTCGTCTCCTGAAAAAAATGACCAATGGCGCTTACGCCCTTTTGTCGTGACGCCGTCGATATATATATAAAACAACAAAATAAAATATACGTGTTTAAGAGTTTTTCCGAAAAACTGTCCGGTTTTTAAATAAAAAATATTCTAATATTTGAGGGGTGGTTTCACCCCTTTAGAATTCGAGTTTCGAAAAATCCCTTCTTATCGAACCTCTACACGCTAAAGTCAATCTGTTTTGCAAAAGTCAGCTTTTTACGTCAAGCGCTTTAAGCAGGATCGTGATTAATCAATGACCAGATTTTTCGAAACACCCTGTATACATTTTCAAAAAAATCTTAAAATATGTAAAAAAACAAAATAAAATATACGTGTTTAAGCGTTTTTTCGGACACTTGACCGTTTTTTAAATAAAAAATATTGCAATATTTGAGGGGTGGTTTCACCCCCTTGGAACTGGAATTTCGAAAAATCCCTTCTTATCGAAACTCTACAGCCTAGAATTAACCTGTATCCCAAAATTGAGCTTCTGACGTTGAGTGGTTTGAGCAGGATCGTAATTAATCAGTGAATCAGTCACTTAAGGATTTTATATTATTAGTATGGATTTTTGAACAGCGGGAAGGTATGACTTACTTCTTCTGTGGTACGGCCATGAGAATGAGTAATCTATAATAATATTATTTACAATTATGTTTGTTTACAATAATATTATAATATTGTTTACAATTTTGGCTGATTTACTCATGAGCAGGTTTGAAGGTTTCCTTATACTATGTTTGAAGTATATTAGCTAAAATCAGCTTGAATATTTACTATTTAGTAATTACCAAGATTACTAAGATTACCAGGAGAAGACCAAGTCAGTACAGAGATGTTACAGCTAGGAGAAGAGACTGTACGAGAAGCAATAAGTGTACTGCTGAATAAACGCTTACATGCCGGTTAAATTCCAATTAAATGGTGTAAATCTGAGGTAATACTACTCTTCAAAAAAGGTGACAACACAAACATCGAAAATTATAGACCTATATCTCTTCTATCACATTTATATAAACTATTTACAGAAGTTATAACTAATCAAATGGGTTATAACTTCAAAATTAGATTAGGTTATAACTATTAACTATTATAGCTAATTAACAGGTTATAACTTCAAAATTAGATTTTTACCAACCAGTCGAACAAGCAGGATTTAGAAAGGGATATAGCACGATAGTTCATCTCTATACAGTCCGTACCCTTATAGAAAAATGTACAAAGTACAATGTACCTATACATTTAGCATTCGTTGACTTTCAAAAGGCTTTCGACACCGTTGAAATATGGTCAATTCGAGTAGCTCTACAAAATGCAAGAATAGACTTAAGATATACTCAAATCATTAAAAATATTTAGCAGGAAGCAACAATGCATCTTAGATTAGATGCAACAGCTACGACCAACAGAATAGTATTGGAGAAAGGTGTGAAACAGGGAGACCATGTCACCTAAACGTTTACTCTAACACTAGAAGGGGTATTCAAAAAGTTGGAATGGGACACCAAGGGCATTAGCGTAGATGGTATCAAACTAAACCACCTCAGATTTGCAGATGATATAGTTCGAATAGGTAACAACATCACAGAAATAGATGAAATGTTAAATGAATTACATCTATCAGCTGCAGATAGGCCTAAACATAAACTTTAATAAAACAAAAATACTGCGTTCTCAAGTGCCATATAACATATATATACAAAATAATAAGATCGAATGTAAGAGGATGTATATATTTAGGCCACAATATTAGACTTGGAAAAGAAAACCAACACGCAGAAATTACAAGGCGTATACGATTAGCATTGATAGCCTTCGGTAAACTGGGACATATCCTGAAAAACAATACGATCCCTACCAATTTGAAGGGAAAAGTATATAACACCTGTATTTTGTCTATGCAAACATACGGACTGGAAACGACCAGTCTAACAAAATCATTTGCAAATAAACTCTTAACAACTCAAAGAGCTATCTATGGAACGATGTATGCTAGGGGTCTGTCTGCGAGACAAAATTCGTAATGAAAACATCAGGAGGCAAACAAGAGTTACCGATATAATTCAGGAAGTGGCTAAAATGAAATGGCAATGGGCTGGCCATGTTGCTAGGCTGGATAAAGACAGATGGGCGCATAGAATAACAGTGTGGAGGCTTAGACAAATTAAAAGAAGTGTGGGACGTCCACAGAAACGTTGGGTTTACAGCACAAAACAGGGAGACATGGAAAGGGATAGGAGAGACCTATATCCCGGAGCGGATGAATCCGGGTTGAGGAAGAGAATTACCAAGTCAATAGAATAGTCATAAAAAAACTGTTGTTGCTTTGAGAGACGGACAGTATTATTTAGTATCAATTCGATTACTTATTTTCAATATTTCTATTCAATTTTTAATACTGAATTTAATACTGTATTAATACTGATTTACATGACAATTTTAATTTCAGGAAGCCGTCCTGGTACTGTCCATCATTATGGCAAGCGCTGCGGGAATCACCTTCCATTATGGTGGATATTCAGGAATGGGTGTAGGTCACATAGTCCAACCAGTAAGTTCAAATCATACTCTTCTTGAAGAAAATAAAAAAAAACGCATCAACTTCATCTTTTTCAGGTAATAGCCTCGGTACCGTTCGTACAAACTCACTCAGAACCATTCGATCACCATCCAATTTACGGATATTCGTACACCGTTCATGATACACACAGCGGTGATACCAAAACACAGGTTGAGACCAGAAATGGTGATTCTGTAAGAGGTCACTACAGGTAAGATACTAATATCCGTAGACATATACAGTTCACACCAAATAAATTTTTAGTCACGTGATTAAGCTTGACCAGCACAGCGTTGTCAACTCTTACATATTTTCTTTTAATCAAAATATTTTAGGAAACAAAAATAAATTCATTATAAATATATAAACAGTTATTATTTACGCCAAAAAAAAATCACCTCCTTAAGGGACATAAAGGGCCATTACTACCACGTTTCCCGTTCAAAATATTCTATTAATGTTGCGATGAGTTTTTTACGGCTATTAAGCTATAATCTTGTACACTTTGCACTAAAAGAGATTCTAAAAAGAACAATATTCGACTGCAAGGTCTGCTAGTAAACATTTTTAAGCTTAAAATATCACAACACTATTTATTTAAACCAAAATCTCGCAATACAAAACTAAAGTGTCAAAACGAATGACAATGTCAGAAAATAGATAAATAAATGCGGCAACTTGAATTTTTTACCGAGCTACCACCTGAATCCCCAGCATGAAATTTAAATTCCAGTTAGTCAGCCCGGCGCCGAAATATGTTCAAGGTGGTTGGCAACAATAAATTATTTAAAAATCGCGCCCTCGATTACGAAACTAAAAGTTTAAATGATATCACATAAAAAAGATAACTTTGATTTGTTTAGACCCAATGATATACCAGAAAAATGTAAATAAACCGTTTGTTTATTTAATCATAGACTTAATATAATTCTTTTTTGAAGATTTTATAACCACATCGACGTATTTTTAACGATCTTTATAAAAATTTTCAAAGAGTATTAAAAAAAGATAGATAGAGCAAGTGCCTTTACGTAAAAATTAACTGTTCTTCAGAAACGTCTAACCAAAGCGCTGTATATTTACTCGATACATTATCCAGACGAAAAAAAAACAAGTTTAAACTGGCGGAAAGTTCTCTGGCTATCGAAACATTCACGGTTAAATGAAGATTTCCATGGCGCGCACTGATGGAAAGTTTACGCGCAAGACTGCTTCCCGATACCCTCCGGCTCTTGATGCACTTTGTTCTACTTGATCTAACATCAATAAATAACTTAAATTTGTCGAGTTTCGTACGGCCAACTTGTAAACTCACTACTATACCAGGCGCCTTACAAGAACAAAGGGCTTAAAATTAATATACTGAGACAAGGCAATCTGTTCAGTGGCCTATATTTTTCGTACGAACTTAAACAATGTCATTGTAGACTGTATGTTATATGGGAGAGGGGTTGTTAATCACCGCGACCTTACAGATCTATTGGGTGTTACCCTTTCTTGAGTTATAACAGGTTATAACTCATCATACAGTCTCAGGGCTTTGACAAAAGCCAGTATCTGCGACGGCTCCACAGAGGCCAGCTCTCCATCTTCGGCATCAGCCATACCAAAATATATGGCACGAACTGTTGTCGTCTCGGCGCACTCAGTGATAAGGTGTTCTGGTGTTTCCCCATTTTCCCCACAGAATCTGCATTCGCTGTTGTTTCTCAGTTTCAATCTACTGAGATGTTCGTTGAGGAGAGAGTGTCCTGTGAGAAACCCTGTGACAATCCGAAGATTGTTCTTACTTCTCGGTGGTAAGAGACCTTTGGAGGATTCCCGTTCCAGCTAACGGATGGAAATCACACATCCAGGTTTTTCAGTTCCGCTTTAAGGTTGATCCTCACTATACCTTCCGTATGCAGCTCCCTTCCGTTTACGTAAAATATTATATCATGTAAATGAATAGAACAATGCACACAAAATTTCTGTTTCCCCTCCGTTCCATATTCTTTCCTTCCATACATATTTTTGGCGGACGGACTGAAGCGTATCGGAAACAGCGTTATCAAATTCTTACATTTATACCAGCTCTGTTAACATTTTGCTGATATTTATTTATTATTTCACCTCTTAATTAAAACTATCACCTTTTTCAAAAGATACAAATTTTTAAAATAAAACTTTCGTAATGATATAAATTGTACAATAAAAAGTATGGAACTGATAGCGAACGGAAGGTTACGTATAGCGTCAATACAATAAAAAATACGGAACGGATATGGAATGGAAACGGATGGTATAGTGAGAATCAACCTTTAAGCTGGTTTCCGCTTGGAAAGCAGAACCGTTCTAGTCCAGTTAGTGGAATGTTCGCTCCTTTCCAGCCAGATTGTTTGATTGTTCATTTCTTTCTATCCATTGGTAAGCTGGCACCCAAACAAGGAGGACATTTTATGTCTGATTTGTTGAGCTTCTCTAGGCATTCTTTGATCACCATCGAATTGATCGCTTTAATGCTGCTTGACTATCAGATAAGAAGGCCATTTCTTGTTTCCGATAGTTCCTATCTAAAATAAGTTGTGCGCATCTTTCGATAGCGTAGATTTCTGCCTAAGGATGCTGGGATGGGTTTGGAGTATTTAGTTTTCCGCCAAAATACTCCTATCCCTGTCTATGCTTTGGTTTTGGAAGCATCAGTATATCACGTAATAGTATGGCCTTTTACCTGCTGCAAACAGACAGTATATTATGTTTTCAGACAATAGAGTATGCGTAGATCATATAGAAAATATATGATCTAAGATACACCTGATAATATTATGTACTGTTCTGTTTATTGAAGTGAAACTTCGTTGCGCGCGATGGGAGTAAAAATTGAAGGCCGTGACACACGAGACGCGAGAAGAAAAGTGGTAACGATCTTGAAGCGTCGTAACTGGGACCCTATGAACTTAGAGGGTTGAAACTCGGAATGTAGATGTTTTCATGAAATGTTGACACGTTTCGTGCATTACGAAACTCCATCATCAATGAATCAAATCAAAAAATCGTCGGATTTAAATGAAATTTGGTATGTCGATAGATTGGACCAAGGCCAACTTGACCCTGTACGACACGTGTCACTGTGACAGTTAGTTTTGACGTAAGAAACGTCAAAAGTTAGGTTATGTGAGCGACGGTGCAAACGGTCCCACCCTGCAAAGTTGGATACAGTGGCGGCTCGTCAGGGTAGGCAAGGTACCCTAAGGCCTACCCTAAGATTTTGGCAGAATTTAAGCGGTTTATTACATTACATTATTTATTATTAATGTTGCCAATACATAAAAATACTGTTAATACACGGAAGTGTGTTTTAATAATCAATATTATTTTAATATTTGTGGTCTTGTATATTAAAATATTCACTACCGCTGGCGTATGCTGACTGTGCCGCTACGTTAGTGTGCGAACACAGTGCAAGCAGGTTTGCCGCTTACTGGTAGTCAGCGCCAATCTGGGCACCTATTCTTGACTTCGTTCGCAACTTTGCGTATACGCATCACGTGTATTGTTATAAACAGGGTATCCCAGAAATAAGTGCAACTATTTTAAAGGGTGGTAAATCTCGATAAAAGAAACATATTTTCTCTTTATCATTTTTCAAATAAGTCCAAAATAAGGGAGTTATTTTGCTTTGAAAATTTCCAAAAAAAAAATATTTTTTGCTAAAATTTTGAGAACCTTCTTCTTCATGTGCCTTCTCCTCATCGGAGGTTGGCGACCATCAATTGGAATTCCTCCTTGTCTTGAGCCAAACGGATAATTGCACTGGCCTCTCCTATATTAAACCACTGGCGCAAATTCCGCAACCAGGAAAACCGTTTACGCCCGATGCCTCGTCGTCCTTCAATCTTTCCCTCAACGATCAACTGTAGGAAACTATATTTGTTATTTCGAAAAATATGACGAAAATATGCTGCTTTCCGTCGTTTTATTGTAGTCAATAGTTCTTGGTCCTTATACATCCTTTCCAATACTTCGAGATTTGTTTGAGAACCACTGGATCTTTTCTGGATTTTCTTTCTTGTAAATTTAATATACTACCTATGTTGACATATTATCAAGAAATTATTTTTTTTAAATAAAAACTAAAAAAAATTGCAAAAAAATTCCAAAAATATTTTCAAAAAATTCCGAATTTTAAAAAAAAATATTTAGAAAAAAACCTCATAGGCGTGTTTCTGGGGTTGAACTATACTACCAGTTAAGTTAAAATACTTGCACTTATTTCTGGGATACCCTGTATATGGTTACATAGTAGCGCCGCGCCGCGCCGCCTCGCGCTTATAACCTTGAAAAATTAAAGAGTGTTATCAAATCGGCTAGTTCACAGTGAAAGCAGGCAGGCACCGTCAACCAGCGTTCATCGGCGTTCTCGCTTTTACCGGAACGAAAATTTATTTATTTCTGCTTTTGCACGCGCCGACGGCGCACAGGGGGTATTAAGAACTAAAAATTGGCCAAAATTATGTTTTATGATTTTTTTGCTTTTTTGCTAGTAATATTAATTATTAATTAGAGGAGAGGTTGCTAATATGGAACCCCATTTTGTTTTTCCTACACAATATTTTTTCCTCTACTCTGAAACCCTTTCCACCGATCAAATAGGGCCATTCTGTGCAAAACCAAGCAATTGGATGAGGATGCTAGAACAAGAAAGTAATTTGTATATTATAGACGATATTTGAGCGAGGATGGGTGTTAATAGGGTAAAGACTATTTCCTTTAAGAATCTATTTAAATCAATGTTTTTTTTGGCAGTGGCAAATATTGGCAAGATTTTTGTGCATATTCCAATGCTGGAGACTTTAAGCATTGAACGGATACTAATTTCCATGCGGAATATTGCCGAATAGTCTTACACCTTATAAAAATGCCACTGATTTTTTAAATATAAAACATTATAAAAAAATAGAATAGAAGGAAACGTTTCAAAATAAAAATATGGCATAAAACAGAACAGAGCCAACAAACAAAGCTGGCTCTGTATCCATCATGACAGTTATTATGAACAATTTGCAAAAAAAGCACTACAAACAATTCCACTATTTTTATAATCTTAGAAATATTCAGAATACACTCAAGATAATTCATACTTTTAACTGAAATATATTATTTATTTGATAGTCAACTTACGACTTAAAAAAGCTAATAACTAATAAACGTGCTTACATTTAGTATTTATAG